TCAGAGATTTTCCATCACTTCTCACATTATTTTGGTCTCAATTTTATGAGGGAAAACACTGCACTCAATATTTATTGGGAACACTTTCCTTCATTTCTGGCGGCTTTTTTGTCTTGCAAGTTTTAAAGAAGACAAAGGCTTCAATTCAAAAATCTATTTGTGAAACAAAAGCATGTAGAGAGAGAAGCTTTAATAAGTAAATCATCAGGATCTTCTACCCAGGCCACACAGGGATGGCCATGTTTTGCCTGCTTTCCAGAATATTGCAAACGACTGTCTCAGCAACGAGCACAGGATCAGGTTCTGCTTGTTCTAACACAAGGGGAACCACAAAAGACCAGTGTAGTTAAGGCTGGGCTCTCTACTGTTGATCATTAAGCACTGACACAAATACCAGATCATTTCTTCTCCCTCCTCTGAGCCATGACTAAGTCCTCAGCTTGAATTTCAAACCACAAGTCCTGCAGCTTCCAGTAAATACTGAATATTTAAACATACGCTATTTAAAAAATGATATGGTAAAGAAATGCTGTTTCTTGCAATTGGCTTGAGAATTATTAAAAAGGCTGTAGGAAAGACAGCTGCTTCTATCTCAAAGGTGTTAGTACAAGTAAGAATCCTGTTTGCAGCCAATGTTGACCACAGTCATTGTCTTTAAGTCGTTTGCCACAAACACATAATTCTGTAAATGCAGGAAAATACTCCCTAGTCTTTTATAGTCTCCATTTCTGTTTTCCAGCATTTCCAGGAGCTAATCAAGGGTTGACACGAGTTGATAGCTGTGGTCACAACCCAAGCTTATTAACCCAAGCCAAGCATTAATCCACAGGAAGTACCCTCCTCTGATGTTGTTGTTGCTGATATAAGCTGAAAATGAAATAAGCCATGTATGAAAGGCTTTATTTTTCCATTACTGCTGTTTCCTTTATAGGAGGTTTCAACAGAGTTAATGCCTTTACTGTACCTTAGCCAATCCGGCTGAATGTCTAATGTCTACTTCTTCAATAATATAACATATTCTGCTCTATCCATTACAGATTATGTTTATAAATCATATAATCATATCCAGAATCCTGCTTGATATGAATTGCTTAGGATTGAAAATATAAGGTTTTTTTCAGGTGTTTTTTCTGAATGCAGAGTCACAGAAACATGCTGAGATTTTGTGTGAGGAGGAATCTAGGGCTGAAGAATGTCTTGAGTCTGGAAACGGAAAATAATTAATGTGATAAGGAGAAGTTATTTTTCTGAATATCACCTCATAGATGATCAGCACCATGAATGTGTATAAAACTACTTATTTAGCAAGTCTAATTTTTCATTTCAAACACAATTGATAGAAATAGATAGATACTGATAGTTCCCTTTCATTTGATGCTGTGTTAAGCAGCTGATTTGACTATGCCTGTGTAGTTGTTTGAGACAGATTTTTTAATATTGCTCTTTCCTAGTATAGGCCCCAAGGAGAGGTTGAATTTTCTGATACTAACCATTCAGCTGCTCTCAATATTTTAAAAGAACAAAATTATGGCATAGCAAAATTAGTTCCAGAAGGCAATAAATGTGCTGGCTTTTTATCACCCTCCTATATTTGCAGAGAAAATTAGTTTTTTAAAAGGAGACTGAATGGACAAGGCAAATACCAGAACTACAACCCTGGAGCTCAGGAGAACACCCTTTACAGGGATCTGTTTGGAAGAAGTCCATGGGAGATTGTCCTGAAAAAAAAGAGCAGTCCAGAAGAACTACTGATTCTCCAGGATCATCATCCTTTAAGCTCAAGAACTGTCCATCTTGACAAGTGGTTTTGCCATCTTGATGCAGCTCAGACGTACAAAGATGGTGATAGGTTAAAGTTGGACTCAATCATCTTGGAGGTCTTTTCCAATCTTTATGATTCTGTGAAACATAAAAGAGGTGGAAGCAGAGTCAGTTGACCCTGTGCAGGGGTTGGATAAGGAATGTAGAGAGTGTCTGAGAATGCAGGGACAGAGATGGGAAAGCAGAAGCCCACCAGCACCTAAGCCTAGCAAGGGATTTAAAGGGCATTAAAGAGGCTTCTATAAGTATATCAGCAGCCAAAAGAAGACTAAGGAAAATATGGGACTTCTGCTGAATGGGACATAGAAAAGACTGAGTTACCCAAGGCCTCCCTCCATCACTTTTGCCTTCATGGAGAAAATCTGCATACAGTAAACCAAGGTCTCTGCAACCAGAGAGGAAACTTGCAGCTATCAACATTTATCTTCAGTGGAAGGATATAAGGATAGGGGAACATTTAAACAAATTGGACGTACAAAAGTCTAAAGAACCTGATGGAATACACATAGAAGTCCTGAGGGAGGGGCAATGAGAATGTGAGACCTTTCTCAATTATCTTTGAAAGTTCATGGTGACTTGGGAGAGTTCCTGAAAACTGCAAGAAAGCATATGGTAACACCTGTCTTCAAGGAGGATTCAAAGAACTACAGGTCAGTCAGCATTATTTCAATCCTTGAGAAGAGAAGGTGATGGAGAAAAAAATATGGAAGCCCTTTGCAAACATCTCAAGGACAGGAAGATGATTGGAAGCTGTCAGGATGGATTTACAAAAGGGATATCATGCTTACCAACCTGATAGCCTGATAATTTGCAGATGGTAGTGAAGTGGAAGGAGTGGTTGATAGACCAGTTGTTTGTCCTGCCCTTCAGAGGAACCTCAGCAGCCTGGAGAAGTGAGTTGTCAGGAATTTCATAAAGGGTGACAAAGGGAAATGCAAAGTGCTCTACCATAAGAGGAATAATCCTATGTAATGGTGCAACCAGTCAGCTGGAAGGCAGTGTTCTAGGAAAGGATTTTGGAGTCCTGTGGGATGCAAAGTTGAACATGAGCCACTGTGTGTGCCCTTGCAGGAAAGAAAGTCAACAACCTCCTGGGCTGCATTAGGAAGAGCAGGCCCAGCAGGCCAAGGGAATTGATTCTTCCTCTGTACTCAGCACTGATAAAACAGACCTGCAGTTCAGTCCTGGGCTCCCTGAGACGATTGTGGATACACTGGAACAAGCCCAGCTAAAAGCCACAATGATGATTAAGGGCTTGGAGCATTCGATATACCAGGAGAGGCTGAGAGATATGAGAATGTTCAGTTCTCTCTTCTGGAGAAGAGAAAGCTCAGGAGGGATCTCATCAGCAGTTGTAAACACCTGATTGGTGGGAGTAAAGAACGCACTTCTTAATATCAAGGAACAGGGAGAAAGCACAAATTGAAATACAGGAAATTCCATTTAAACATTAAAAAGCCCCTTTTTTACTTGGAAGGTAGTAAAAAACTGGAATAGGTTGCCTCTTGAGATTGTGGAGTTTTCTTTCTTGGAGATATTCAAACCCTAACTTGACATGGTCATGAGCATGCTGCTCTAGTTGATTCTACTGTGCCTGTGCTTGGAGGAAACAAATTCCAAATATGCTCTCCAACCACAGCAGTTCTGTGAAAACTTTGATTTGGGCCATGGTCATTCAAATGCATCCACACTGGCTCCCAGGCTTATATTATACTTATTTCAGGTCATTTTCACAAATAAACCTTTCTCCATCAGCAAAGGAAAGAAATTGTAGCCGGAATTATCAACGAGTCTTTTTCCTCAGTCTTGGCTCAACAAAACAGCTGAAAGAGGAAAAGCAGTTCTTTGAGAGGGTTTATGTTTTTGATGCAACAGGAAACTACAGGGAAAAACTAAGGAAAAGATGTTGAACAATCACACAGGAACCAAATCTTGTAAATGGAGAAGAACTCCTAAATGTGTGAGGAATAGAAGGAATGAAAAGGTTTTGCAGAAGGAGATTCAGAAAGTGACAACGGTTTTCCAAATATTCTGGACTGAAAAAGCTGGTGACAAAAGGAATGACTGCTTTACTTACAAGGCTCTGTATTTCTGTAAATCATCAGCCAAATATTGTGATGAAATCTGGTCATCATATTTCATAAAGGATTAAGACAGGTAGCAAAAATAGGATGATGATGATGATGATGATGATGATAATAATAATAATAATAATAATAATATAGAAAAAGGATATAACAGTCATAACTCCTGGCCCTGTGAATTCCATTGACCATAACAATGGTCTTAACAATCTAATGCTTCTCAGAGAATATTGAAGCACTTTCAAAGAAGTTCTGTATCACTACCCCAGATTTACATGGGAAGGGATACACAAGATGAGTTGCCATGTAGTGTCACCCAGCAAATCAATTGCATATTTTGTCTGCACACCTTTGAGTTTGTTGAAATGCTTAGTAACAGCTATATAAATATTTTACTAGGTGGCCAGTTAAACAATGGCTGCTGTACATTCCTCTCACATTGATACAACTTAGTAAACAAGCAAGGTGAGTAGGATTCTTGAGCTCCACTGCAATAGGAAGTCAATCCAGTTCTAAGTGTAGCTTGGTCTCGGTGACTGCCTTGGCAGAGGGGTTGGACTAGCTGATCTCCTGAGGGCCCTTCCAACCCAAACTATTCTGTGATTCTGTGTAAATGAAGTTCAAAGATGGTTGTTCCTTCTATTGTTTGGTGGGAAGGCACATCCATTTCTTTGATGCTATCAGGAAACTCTACCAGCCTGGTCTCAACATAGGCCTGTAAATGTTCTCAATACACCAATGCTGGTTGTTGAGCTTATTCAGCAGAGTGAGGGTTTAAAACATAGACACCCCATAAACTTCACCCATGCTTTTAACTCACCAATTTCAGAGAGAAATATGAGAAACAACTGTATGTATCTTTCTGCATATCTAACCCTTCTTCCCCATTTTGAACATGTGGCCTTTGTATTGCAGCTTTATGCTGTATTTGTCTCATGGACACATACAGGTTTCAATTCCTGCATTCTTCACCAAAAGAAACCATCTTTGACTTATGAAATCAGTGCTCTGGAGTTTTTTTGTCTGCTTATCTTTCATAATGCTTTCAAATATAAACATGGGGTTTAATAATTTCTTTCTTTTCTATCATTTCAGAGAAAAAATTATCTCTACAGTCTTTCTTCCAATGTTTCCTTTGAAGTTAAGAGCATGCCATATAAAGTGCAACCAGCAAAGCTCCCTGAGGGAAGCATAGCAGTAAGTAACTGAAAATTACATCTTTGTGTGAAGCACATGTATTTGGTCACTCTGATCACAGCTGTGAAAGGTCTTATAGATGAAAATATTGAGATTGGTCTTTCCTGTGTTTCTAGTGTAAATTCCTGAAGTAATACCTAAAGGAAATAACTTCATTGCTTTCTGTGGAAGTTGATGGTACATGACTCTTATTATATTTTAAAATAATTTCTTGCTGAACTAATATGTAGAGTGCTTTATTGCAATCCAGATGGATTTTTCACCCAAAAGAAAACAGAACTGTAAAAGCAAGTATCTAGTTACTTTGTTTGGGGTAAAAAAAAATCTGGAGGAAATTTTTATGCAGAATCCAGAATCATGTTCCTGTCAGGTTTAGAGAGCTCACTCTTCTCCCAGTCAGCAGTTCTCTCACACAAGCTTGTGTATTGTCTGCAGCAACTTCTCTCTATCTGTTTTAAGCTTCTTTGATACCCTGATTTTCAGGAAGGTGTGTATGCCTTTCTAGGATTGCCACCTCACAGCACAACAAGTGCAAACATACAAATTTACTTGGTAATCCTTACAGAGGTGATAGATTAGATAGATAGATAGATAGATAGATAGATAGATAGATAGATAGATAGATAGATAGATAGATGATAGCTGGATGATAGATGCTAAAGCACTTGTCTTATTTGCAGACCAAGATTTGTATGGCTCTGTAGTACTATATGAAAAATTAATTTTGGAGACATAAATTTGATTTGTTTTCTAGTGTCAAAGGACTGGGTTTGGGGAGCACCTTAAAGTTATTTGTTCCTTATGGTTAAAATTCACATGGTTTAACATGGTTAAAGTTCACTCTATTTTGTCATAGATAAAGATATTTTGTCTATTTTGTCACTGATAAAGATAAGTAAAATATGAGGGCAAAAATTGATTCTAGTATAAGAGTAATCTGAAATTTTAAGGCTTAATGTTCTCATCTTTATAAATATTCATCAGTTACAGTCCTTCTTTTAAAAGGCAAGCTCAGTTCAAACTTTGCCAAGTTGAATTGTGGTGGAAATACATCATATCAGTCAGTTGAGATGCAGTAGTAGGGACAGAATACTGTCTTACTTAGAAAACAGAATAATACACTTTAGAGCTTACTTTGATTATATTTTAGAGGATACAGGCTTTAAAGTTTTGTTTTGTACATGCACGGATTGAATGGTTGACTGATACTTGCTCTGGGAAGACACAAGGTAAAGTCTTGGTTCTGTGTGCATAGTGACTCTCATCTCCATCATCAGTAGAACCCTGATTTCACTAGAGAGGATTGGTGCTTAATGCACTATTCATCCAGAAAGGTTCAAAGGCACCAAGCTGACAGATATACTCGGGCTCTTTTTATTTTCTTGCAGCATGTGTTCCATACCAGAAACACATGTGCAGAGTTCTGTTGATAGTGGGGCCTTCATCTGGGCTGGAGTGCTTTACCCCAGGTGATAGCCTGCTGTTCTCAACAAGTGTCAGATGATCTACCAAATGATCAGATAAGCATTTCATTCTCTTACTCCAGCCAGTATAGAGCTTGTTATTTGCAGCAGATGATTTACAGCAAAATGCCTGTAATGGCAACTGTAAAATGTTGAAAAATGATAACACTTTTATGTCCTTTCATATCTGGACATGGCAGTGGATGCTTGCCAGCTCTACAGCTTGATGTGTTATATGCACCAGTTCTTTGATGTTCCACTTGCAAGAAGAAATATTTCCTTGAAGTTGGGCAAAGCTTAATATTTTTGCTCCTTCTGAAAATGATCACTAGTTGTGTTTTAAAAGCTTCCAAAGATTTATTTAAAGGTTTATGATTTTCCTTCAGACAATGAAAGGGTGGAAGTGGAAGAAATATTTAAATATTTTAAAAATCAATTTTCAAAAGTATATATGTAATAATCAGCTAGCACTTCAAAGTTTATATAAAGATAATATATTTTAAAGAATAGATCATATGTCCTTCATTTAATTCATATAGGGCTGGATTCCAATTAGGCAGGCTGATATTTACTTTAAGTTTTAATGGCATGAGTAATCCCATACACATCAATAACCTTCAGAGCCACATAGTCCTATTTGTAGCTCTAAGAACTTTATCATCATGGAATATAGGTCTTGGACACATAGATCTTTAAGACAGGGTCATGATACAAAGGTATGTGAAACGTTAGGTAAATGTAAGAAAATCTGGATCTTTTATAGTAAAACATTAGAATGAAAATGCATCAAACAGAAAATTAGCATGGAGTTTAAACCAGAATCCACTGACATCCATAATAGTATTTCCATTTATTTTGATAGTCTTAGAATTGCAACCATATATTATACAACTTGTTGAATTTCCTTGCTAACAGCTATTTCATTCAAGAGAAAATTTTCATTTTTTTGCTACAAGTATTATTATTGTGGTAAATAATACTGTCTTACTTGGTGAATTTCATGTGCAACATGAAAGTACTTTTTATTGCAAAAAGTACAAAGTTAGAATAAGCAGAAATTTGCTTTATTTTAATGTATGATTCTTAAGCCAGTTTGAGAGTTTAATAAAATATGGTTGCTTTTCTTAAACGTTTGATAGGATTTTCACTGTGGATGCCTTTAGTCTAAACTGTCTGACCAGTGTCCTCCAGTGAGTGACATTGGTTTCAGACCAAGGCCTATAACTTTTTTTAGTTATTACATGTTGATAACACTTTAAACAAGCTTATATTCCTCATCAAATATATTTGCATAAACATTTGTAATGTGTAATTATAAATGTGACTTTGAGCTTGAGGGAGCTTTTACATTCTATTTTGAGCATTTTTTGAGAACATATAAGAACATCCTGCTGTAATGGTTGGATGGGGACATGTAGGAGTACAAAAGAATTCCTGTTTCTCAGCCTCTGTAAAGAAAATTTCTGAAGACTAAAGGAAGGTCATCATGGGCAGCAAAAGCAGTAGTACTAGAACAATAATTAATTCAGTTGCTCTTTCTTAAAGTAGCAGAATAAATTATGGAGAAGTTTTGGTTTTTTGTTTTGGTTTTTTTTTTTTAATGTGTCTTTTAAAGAACCAGGGAGAAAAAAATAACTTTGTGAGAATCCCACTGGCATGCACTGAATTTTGACCACAGATGCTGGAAGTTTGCACCAGTCAAACCTAACTCCCATCTTTACATAAGGGAGTGCCAGTGAAGCAGCAGATTATTTCATGTGCTTCTATCTGCTTTGTGCTCCCTTCCAGAGGAATCAAAGACTATTTTGAAGACACACTAACACCAAAATCAGAAGCAAAATCCAAACTGGATGAAATACAGTGGCAAAAGCCCTAATAATTATTTTATATACTTACAGTGAGCTTAACTATGGCATATTTTTTAAAAGGTACATTTTTAAAAGCCTCCCCAGAAGAACACTTTCATAAGCAACAAATGACTTTCATGGAACTGCAAAAGGGATTATGAACTTAAGACTGTCTGACAGCATCTGTGCTAAGACCAGTGTGGATTTTATTTCCAATAGCAAACAAAGGCTCTGTCCATAACTCTTGGGTTGACTTCACCCTCATCTCAGTGCCTGAGGCAGATGGCATTCTCTGGCACCCTTTGGATAACAAAGGTGTGAGATGGTCAGCAGTGTCAGAAGTCAGATGGCTCCTCTCAAGTCTGTGAGATGTGCTCTTCACCCACTTGACAGAAAAGCATTGTTTTCAGTGTTCAGCATAAAGTCTTGTCCTGAACAGAGAGGAAAGCTAACACACATCTAAAGTGCAGTGTCAACGTGCAACACTTCTGTAAAAAATCCACTTCATATTGGCCACCTCAGATGGAAACATTCCCTGGCTCTGATCCTGCAGAACTAAACCTACCACATGGAGAAGAACAGAAATCCAAGCTGAAAACACAAACTTGTTTTAAATCAAAATCACATGTAAAACTGTTGGTGGACAGCATGGGGTGAAGAAGCGACAGTCCTCTATAAAAATGGTGAAACAAGGCAGACAAAACTGAAGGAATGTTTTGTTTGTGTCTTCCCCTCCAGCTTCTGCCTCAACTCTGTGGGTGTTCAGGACGTGCAGTGTCAAACTGTTCACAAGAATTGCATTTGTAGCCTTGCAAGGCTTTTTGTAGAGTATAAAGGGGGCAGCCCAGGGCATTGTATCCTGCTGGTAATGCACACAGGCAGGAGTGAGACTGATGCCTACATATTGAGGTTTATTTCCCTGCTCAGGAAATAAATCTCAATTACTTAGCACAACCATCCCCTTGCTTTTAAAAGCTAAGACAAAGAAAAATCATGGGAAAAGGGTGTGGGTTCGACAGGATGGTTTAAAGATTTTAGCAGGCAAATATTTCATTAGCATTGGCTGCACTCAGGGTAAAATAGAAGAGAAATGTGCCGGCTTTGCAGCAGTGTCTGCTTGATACAGGCTAGACCTAATTTCTGCTGTCTGTTTTGCTCATTGCTGATAGTCTAAGGATTATGAACATGATGCCCTGCTCTTTTATAAGATTACAGTTCCTTGTTTATGTTTCAACATTTGTCAAGCTCCAGCTGAGCTACTGAAATTAAACCACAAGTTGCACTTGATGGTCTGTAAAGGCAGAATGACAGGAGGAAGGGAGAAATGATTCTGAACACAGGCAGCACAAGCAAGGCTGAGTGCTGCTACACCACTCCTAATTGTTTAGCATCCTCAGGAAGATCCACATGTCCTTGTCTGGATCCATGCTGATAGGTGCTCTGTAGATATCAGAATAAGAGCTAGCTTGTGTTACTGTTTTCATAGCCTAAGAGGAAAGAAAGCACACAAACACAGGAACTATGTAGAAGTGGCACATAAAAGAAGGTATGGAAAGGCAACATGTGTACTTGTAGTTGCATACACTACTGTCAGCTTTATCCAAAACCTAATGAAATCTACCATCCTTAATAAAATAATCTGTTTCCACTGATTTCAGGAGGATCTCAAACATGCTTTGAAGTCTGGATTGACCCTACCTAATTTTGAACAGTGAATTGGCACACATTAAGAGTCTAGTTGTTGCTCTGCTCCTGTGCAATCATATGCTGCCCTATGAGCTATTCAGGCCTAAACACCACACAGCAGCTTACTTCACCCCCATCTCAGCACCTGTGGTGCTTTAGTAGTTACCTTAGATTGGGTTAAACTGGACTTGGTGCCCAAGGAACCAGATGTGGTTCAGTCAAATACTATCTGAAGAAATCTGTAAACCAAAATTCCTTCCTACTCCAAGAAGAATTTGCCCACTCAGATAATTTCCATGTTCAGGATTGTAAAATTTCAGTAGACTGTTGTCATGCTTTAGGAGTGGTACTGCCCAGTTTAGTTCTCCCACTGTGACTCTCTAAACCATGCACTGCTTGCTTGCTTCCCTGCTTTCCCATCCCTCTCAACCTGCAACAGGATGGAAATAAGAATTGAAGGTAGAAAATGTAAAGATCCCAAGTTGAGATAAGAGCAATTTACAGGAAACAGCAATGAGATAAGAAAATTAACAGTAACAGTGACAGTACTAATGACAGAGGGTACAAGAAAGGAAAGATTGACAAGGGAGCTCCCTCACAACAGCTCCCTCTGCCAGACTTACTCAACTGGGAGGAACTTCACAAGAGACTCCCTTCCCCTGCCTCAGGTAATAATGTGAGCTGTTATAGAGTAACCTCCAGGTCCTGGTCATGCCCCCTCCAGGCTACTCCAAAAATTAACCCTTTCCTGGCCAGACCCAGGATGACTGTCCATCTATCAAGCTGTCCATACCTAGCCAGCAGCTTCTCAGAATCTTCTTGTGATGTTCTACAATCAGTGGATTGTAAACCAGCAATGTTGGCTCCCATTTCCTCTTGTATTTATCTCAGTCATATTATGCCACCTAGGAATTTGGCTGAAGCTATCAGAAATGGCAGAAATGTAGCAGAAGTGGCAAAATAAAGTCTTAGCATGTAAATGGGTCTTCCCTGTGGTTTGGTCTTGCTGTAAAATGGAGTCAGTAATTTCATTAAACTTGACACAACAGAAAGCACTGCTTGGCTTTTACTTTTTCTGCTGTTTTACAAATATCTTTTAAGATGGTTTTAGTAAGTAGTCTTTGACATTAGTGCTCCAGATCCACAGCAACATACTCAGGCAAGTGATAGTGTGACAAATAGAAACTGTAGTGAAGCTCAAATCTTAGGTGATTAAGATATGTAATCTGTTGACAGTGCAATGTTGACAAAGTCAGGTCCTTTCCAAACAATAATTAAAATATGAAACGTCGTGTGTGTAGTACCTCAGAGTTTGCCAACAGAGGAAGTGCACATTGTGAATGAGTTGGGGTTATTTGAATCAGTCCATTTTTGCTGTCTTGGGGCCCATAAATTTTCATCAGCACTTCCCAACTCTTGTGCTGTATGTGATCAGGCTTGCTTCAGGGCAGCGTTCATGATTTTCTAGCTGCAGAATGAAGATGCTTCTTCCTTGGACAGCTGAGCCCATTGTTTTCTACAGGCTTCAAGCAGCCCCTTGTAACTGCATCCTTTCTGTTTTCCCTGGTCAGTTAACCTTTCACTTGAATTCATCTTTTTCCTTATTTGGCTCTTCTTGGGAAGAATCTCTGCAGACAGTTCAGAATGACCCTTCTCTAATTTTCTCTGCCCTCGCATTTTAATGCCACTCTGAGACACAAGCAGAGCCATTCAAGAACATTTTATCCTTACTAAATGAGCTCTGCTCTAGCTGAATCTTATGATGCACAGAGCCTATGAAATTTTGCAGTGGTTAAAAAGCAACCCAAAGAGGAGGCTGGCAAAGGAATGGTATTCCTGCAAAGGCATGGTTGATCACTGGATGAGACCATCAGGATATCTGTTGGGACATAAGGGGGACATTTCATTGGTTGTTTTATTAATACTGTTTTCCTTAAAGTAATTCTTTCCTGCTTTAATTTGCTCTCATATTTATTCCTTTTAGATGTTATCTTTTTGAAATATTGTAGACTTATGACTATTTAGAGCTGCTCTAAAGATGCATATTATCTGTGTTTGTTAGATAATGATGGTATGGCCAGCACTGCAGGTACTTCATCTTCAGAGCCAATGTTAAAGTGCAAATTCCAGGACTGGGCAGTATCTTGGAATTTTCTGTGTAGCTCTCAGTGTAAGCTTTGGTAGAAAGCAAACTACATAGAAAGTTTATCCCTACATTTTGTTTCCTGGTGAGTCATACTATAAAAAATACTTGCATCAGTAGAGCTCACCAGACTGCCATCTCTGTAAGTGCTGTGTCAGAGTAGGGAGCAGTTGGCTGCACAGATAAAGTGAAAATGACTGTTCAGAAGTGTCTTCCAGTTAAGCCAAACAGTAGCTGGAAGACAGATCTACTGGTGCTTTCAGAAGGAAAAGTCTATGAAAGAAGGCTAATCACAAGAAAAAGTGAGAGAAGAAAGGACTGGATGTTGCAGAAAGGATTAAATTATTAAATTTGCCATCTTCAAGGAGAGAAATGAGAGGCACGGGAATGGAAACAGTTTTGAGCTGAACTACAGAGTTGTGCCCATTCTTAAAAGTTAGGCTGCTGTTCCTTCAATGAACAAATAAGAAATTAGTATTTTGTTAAATTCCTAGTGCATCAATCACTAAGGTAATAGAGGAAGAAAAAACATAGAAAGAAAATTTACAATGAGTGCAGCTTAGGGACTGGACCATAGCCAAGAAATTTATTAAAAAGAGTAGATTTCCTAGATGTATCTTGAGTACAGAAGAGGAATTTCATTTAAGAGTTTGTGTCTTCAGTTTCTTTGCAAACTGATTTCATCATGTCATAAAGCAAATAACTTCCATCTGTCACATGCTTGTCCTAAGGGAGACTAGGAGTAGATGAGAGAGGTCTAAGAGAAAACCCCAGAGAGAAATCACTTCCTAGGCTGACAACAAAGAGAAAAGTTTGAGAAAATAAACTAAGACTGAAGGGATATAATTATGTTGAAAGAGCTTAGGAAAGCCCAAACTCCTTCCTTCCCACTTGGGAGTAGCAGGGACTGAGCAAATATTTAGTGAGACTGAGGAGCCTTCCAAGCAGAGCCTGAGAGCATATAATGCATTTTGTACAAGGTATGGAAAGGGGAGTATGGAGGAGAGTGTGGATGTCCTCAGAAGGAGAAATACAAAAGGGTTATTACTCTTTGTCCACAGGAAAGTCTAAAGAGAGAAGTTTGCCAAGTCAGTTAAAACCTTTGATAACTGATGTTAACCTCTGGTGCTTTGTAGAGCCTCAGACAATGAGAGAGCGCATTTCACGCTTGCTTCCCATTTAGGTAATGGTCTGTATGCTTGGCTTCTTTTGAAGAAGATAGCATCAGAGTGTGTGTTAGGCTTTATCACAAGGACAATACACTCTGCTTGAGTTTCATTTTTGGACTGCTTAGCTGAAATGCAAATCATAGGAAAAAATGTATACTGCCATGTCAGCAAAAATTAAAATAAGAAAATTGTTGCTGGTATCTACTGTGGTTTGAATTAAGAGTCTGGGCTAAAGTCAACCATTGTTTATGAGTAATTCAGTGCATTTCAGTGTACTGGCCTAAACTGTACCAGCATGTGCACAGAACTTTGCTCCTTGAATATTTGTGAAGCATCTGCACAGAAGGGAATTTTTTTGCCAATCTGTATTATGGGAAAACTCTTTCTATGTCTGATATGACAAGACTTTTATATATGTGTGAATTCCATTTCTAGTAATTATCATGAACAAGTGGAAAGGAAATTACAATAAATCAAGACAACATGGGAAAATTTCAGTCAATGTGTATTTCTAATCTGCAAAATGCTCTTGAAATCAATGCTTCTAACCTCTGTATTCTACTGTTGAACTTGCTTTACTTGCTTCATTTTTGTTCATTAAATGTACTCCTTTCATTGCAGATCAGAACATCTGTCATTTGGTCCACCCCAAATGTGTCCTTTGAGATCCCTTTATGGGTTATAATACTAGCCATACTTCTTGGACTACTAGTACTAGCTCTGCTGACCCTAGCTTTATGGAAGGTATGTTCCATTATTCCTGTTACTGCTACCTCTAAAAAAACACCAAAAATACTGAAAAATTCTAACAGATAAAAAGAGAGACTAGAATTTTGTGATCTTTAACAGTTTGGAGCAAAAGCAACAGTACACGTGTCTTTTTTGTTTTGGCATTTCTGACATGCTAGTGTCATTGACCTTGATGCAGGAAACTTGTTTTCAAAGTCCTCCTTTATCACTGAAACCTGGTTACAAATGGGCATAGAGAGTTTGGCTCCATTTCCCAAGACCTCTGATCCTCTATTTCAGGATGTTTAGGTTCAAAAAGATGTTACTCTAACTTTGTTTTCTCTGAATAATTCAGGAATTTCCAGTTTTTGTCAGCATGGAACAACACTCGTACTTCTGAGAATTAATTTTTAGAAGATTTCCCTTTATATTAATATATCATGTATTTTGGTTTTTTTTTTAATTTTCTAATTTTTTATTGGTTGTTACATTCCTTTCACAAGTTTTAAGACAAATTACTGGAAACTGCTATATTAAAAGGAGCTAGTGTAGCTTTTGTCCATCCTCTCAGTTCACATTAAAAATGAGATTGAAATAATTCCTTACATTAGGATATGGTTCATGTCTTCAGCTGTCTAAAGGTTATGGTTAGATGTACAGTTTATGCTAACTTCCCAATTCCACCTAGTCAGGTAGCAGCAGCAAAAAGTTATGTCTAAACATGCAAGGAGGAAAAAAATTACCTTTTGGTGGCACTTTAACCACTTTTGAACTTTCAGCCTTTCAACTAAAAGAGTGAATGTTAGGCAGTTTAAGTAAGGTGGGAAGCATCTCATCTTTAGTGATTTTTAGACTAGGTCACAACACTGTCCTGTGGACATTTCCCAACATATATTGCACTTCTCTTTTGCTTACTGCTTGTCAGTCTAAACCTCTTTTCTGAATGAGTGCATTGCTGAACTGAGAGGAGCAGATTTCTCATTAGCATCAGTCCATAGCAGCATCAGGCCAACTTTACATCTCCTGCAAAGACATCTTTCATATAATTTGGATTTTTAAAGCTGTGCTTTGGAACTCAATGCCTTGCATCTAAAACTTTCACAGGGAATGATTTGGATAGAAATAAAATGTCTTCACAGTATCTCAGCCTGCCATACATTGTGCCCAGCATTTCAGGTTGAACAATCAAACTGCAACTGAGTCTTCCTGTGGTTGTCTTACCATGACATCTTTGTTTCTGTTGATTTATTCTGCAGTGCGGCTTCTTTGACAGAGCTAGACCTCCTCAAGATGATATGGCTGACAGGCAACAGCTGACAAATAACAAGACTACTGATGCATAAAGGAAGAGAGTGACAGTTCAAGTCAGAATCCTGCCTGAGAGACTAGAAACATGACGAGGATTAAATGAAAGATTCCTTCCAACCAGTCTTCCTTTGTACCTGCAAGTGACATGGTGTCAATCTGATCTATGCAGTGTTCTGAGAACATGCCACATGATGGCCATCCTTGCCAAAGAAAGTAACTTATCACTGCCTTATAAACCTATTTTCCACTGAACAGAATGTTTATCCCATATTCCAGTCAGTCTACGTTTCAGCAGATGCTTCTGAGCACGTGTGGTATGCTGAGATGCTTCCAGAACAAGCCCAGATCTCTCAAGGAGAGAATGCCTTCATTGCTAGAAGATGAAGCAGGACAAACCTTCTGAATGCTACTGTATCATGCAGAGTATCTTTGAAACCTCCCTAAGAACTTCTATGAAATTATGGCTCAGGGAGACAGGCAATATATCAGTACTGTGAAAGTACTTCTGAAACACAAAGGTAATCTATAAATACCTTTATAGATGGGGCACAATTATTTATTTTTCCACCTTTTTGTAATAAGTATCAGATATAATCATCAACATAGATTTTGAGAGAAGGAAAAAATAATAGAAATCATGTACTTACTTTGCATGTAAATAGAGGAGTAATGCATTGTACACCCAGAACACAACCTCCTTGGCTACAAGGTGTTTTGCAAAGCAGAAGATTTATGGAACACTTTGCAAGATGAGACATAGGATAAGCAAGTACATGTTGTATCTCTTTCAGCCCAGAGCTGGCAGTATCACACCCAGATAACGAAATCCATGCACAGTATAGAGCAGGGATGAGTTACCCTGTCCTTGCTTTGCTGATGGCTGGCAGCTGTACACTGACACAGGATACAGACATTTCTGAAACACTGCTTTAAATTATCACAGCTACACTGGTCATATTGAAAAGGCTTGGGGGGGTTTGGGGCTGGGGCAAAATTTCTTGGTCTTTGCCCTGTTACTTTGTTGAAATCCCCTCTTAAAATAGAACAGTTACTGCCATAATTTTTCACTTAAAGAAATCTTTTCCTTTTTCATTTTTCAATCTACAAGCTGGCAGCATCTTAAAGCAACGCTTTTAGCAAATTTTAGGGCTTGATAAAATTATTTTTAAAGTCTCGCAGGAAAGGGTGACGGGATTTGTATTTATGCAGAAAAATAGGATGCCAGCCAGCCAAGCATGAACAAAAAGAAAGAAGATTTTGAGGTAAAGAGTAAAAATACACACTTAGTTTGGTTTGGGTTTTTTTTTCTGGGTTTAGGATTCCAAAGAAGGGATGTTTCTATCCTTTCCCTTCTATCAGCCAATGTCTTTCTCTCAGCAGGGGCTCTAAGCCCCAATCTGTGCAAATTTTTATGTGAAAGCTTGAGTCTTTCAGTGCTGCCTGGGAGTGTGAAATTAGCAATATTGTGTAAACTTCACGAGAGATTGTTCATTTTGTGAAACATACACACCACTTGCCTTCTCCTTTTCTTTCCAATCCATCTCAGCTTCTCAACTGGTAAATGGCCTCATCCATTCCTCCACATTTTGGCTCCTTTTAAACAACTGGCCTTCTGCTTCCTAATACTTCAAGATAGAAGTAGTTATGAGACATTGTCACTTCTGCCAGTCTGACACGAGATTTTACAGTTTTATAATTTCTTGTATGCAGACTAACCTGGGAAATCCAAGCAGGAGCTGTGTTACATCTTCATATCAAAGGCAAATTTGCAAGAAGACCTTTATGGAGTCTTTAGCTTATCAGATGCATTGTGCCCACAAGACTTACAGGGAAAAGGAGACACGTGCCTCTGAACATGGAGGTGAAGCAGCTGTGTGCTTCACACAATCAAGCACCTCTGTTTCCTAGGGATAGGGAGGCCTGACAACTTCCCAGTCCCCCAGAAAACCATGAACAGACTCCTTCCCCCAGATGGTTTTGAACTGATCCCTTGTAGATTAGAGACATCAGCTGATAAATTCCATCACAAAGCAAGCCTGTCCTGTATTTGCACACCTCTGTATCCCATACATTCCAGGCAAAATCATCCTTCCATGAAGAAAAAAAGTGAGCTTCCAGCTTTTGTAAATATTTAATTGTTGTGTGTAGCAGCTTCAGAAATAATATCAGCAGCTCATTGTAATCATGTCATCTGCACAACTCTGACGAAATAGCACCATAAGGAGATACTGAACATAGGACTTCTGTATGTGCAATACTTTATATTACTTATATACCTGAAGCATGTTTACACTGGCATTTTTGGTTGTTTTTTAAACTTTTGAATATACTGATAAAGATTACAATAAAGGAAAAAGGAATGGGGGGAAAAAAAGGAAAACAATTACTGTGCTGTTCAGTATTTCTTGCAATGTGTTTTCAATCCTACATTGCTCTGAGGATGGGGCTAGGTGACCTAATACGTTCTTTGCAGTTGTAACTTCTACAATTCACTTTTGAGAAATTACTCTCCATTTTAATGATGGGCAAAACATGTTCAGATACTAAATTTAAACAAAAAAAGAACTTCAGTAACTGTTGGGCCTGGCTGGAATCCATTGGCTGCAGCTGTGTAATGTCACTGGAAACCAAATTAGAGGCACATGATCTGACAAACAGTTACTTTGAGCAATACTTTGTTTTATATTTCTACATCCTTGTAGATTAAACTTCCCCCCTGGAAATGTCTGGAGTTGTGTGTTGTCAAGGACTGTAGTCTATTCCCAGCATTTGTGGATAGTTTTGGCTGCAAATTGCAAACAGCTTTGTGAAGATTTCTGGGTTTCAATGCTTGCCAAGAGTGTTTATTCCCTGGGGAGATTGCATCCTGGATGTGGACACTTAGCAGGCAGTTGACATAATCTTTCCCCCCAGTATATTAGTACTGTGCTACATGATAACCTCTGCCACATCCCTACACAACTGACCTTTTGTTGCAGTGATGTCAGCTTTGTAATGAGTTACTAAATCCAGCTTTCTGTAAATGTAATTCAGCCTTATTCTTCCCAATGTTTGTGGTGAGCTGCTAATTGCAGAGAACATGGGAGGAGTCCAGAGAGCAGGAAAAAGAGAAGATTACTTAAAAATTAGTCTATTAAAACTCTTTATTGCTATGACCACCACAGCAGTCTAGTAAACAGAGAGACATTCATCTTTTATTTCACATGCTTCTTGCTGAATTTGAGAAAGGCTCTGCAGTTATTTTATCCATACAGCAGACTGTATCATATTTCCTGTTTCATGAAATTTTCAGAATTGTCATACCAGGGATCAGTATATTTGAATATCTTTTCCCTTACCTATTTAATCTTTAAAGATATTTAGCAAATACAATTTTAATTTTACCGCAAGTTAATTTTTTTCTTGCCACCATTCTGTAACTCATTTTGAGTTTTTCTGTTTCTCACAGCTTTTACAGGTTTCCCACATTAGACAGCTCTTGAAAACAACACTGATTTTCTCTATGTTTTAGCTGTGAAGTTTCCCTCCATTAGCATGAAGGATCTTCTGGTAGGCATAGTTTTCATTAACTAAAAAGCCTTTTGGGAACCAACAAAACACCTAGAAATGTACAGGGGAAAGAAAGCCCCAGCCAGCCATGGCCTATGGTACTCCACTGCAGCAAGCCTTTTTTTAATGAAATACCATCTGACACACTGCCTTTAGGAACTGTTTATGAGTGAGTGTTTTATTTATGATTGTTGGCAAAGATCCATATTAAAATGTAGCATAATGGCAGTGCCTCTTAACAATAAAAAGTCTTGAATTCAACTCGTGCAGGCACCATGATGTGACACAGCAGGAATGCTTTTAATATTGAAGGACTGTTCTTGTTTTGCCTGTGTGTTGTATTGGAGAGGCACTTAGCTATTCAAGATGCTATCCTACTGTACACAGTGACTTTTAGAAAAGCATGGAAGTAATTGTTCAAGTTGCTTTTCACATGGTTTCATTTGTTTTCAACATGTTATTCTACTTCACCAATGCACTACATTTCATTTGGTTGTATATTGTTCTTTGTTTCAGTGAGGGTTTGTAAAGGAGACTTCAGGAACTCTTTCCAAAAGTGGACTGTATCAGACAGTATTACTTTTCCAGAAGCCACTCAGGATAACAGCAGCAGAGCAGAATTCAGGATGCTGTGTGAAATGGTCAGTGCATTACAGGGGCTAGCTTGCTTTTCAGGAGTTCACCCAAGTTAATGTTTAGAACTGTATTAACAAAACATCAATCTTAGATTCTCCATTTCTGCTGTCAAGGAGGGCCAGGGTGTGCCCTGTTTGTCATTGCTGCAAAAGCCAAACACCAAGCAATTCTCACAGCAAAGCTGGGGAGAGAAGGGCATGTTTTAAGCTTGCACCAGACAAATGTATAGAACCAAACCAAGTGCATGGCAAGAGCACAAACACCATCTCTCTTGTGATGTTCTCCTGTTCATGAAGGTTAACATTTTCCCTGCTAAAGCACTCTGCCCATTTATCACAGACCTGCAGCATCAGAAAATAATCTCTGAAGCTGCAAAAAGTTTCAAAAAGTTTCCACAGATTTCATATTCTTTGTAGAAATTTTACATTATGAATTTATATGATAGTTCTTGGCTCTTCAGATAGCCTTAATGATTTTTTTGTGGGTCTTTAATATTTTAATAGCATTTGAGAAAAGATAGGTCACCATATTATGACCTGATACAGAAAATAGATTTAAACTAACAGTGAAGTCTCACAGGAGACCCAGGCTTATATCTGGGTAAATTTTTTTCCATTTTAGGCTTGGAAGAGGCATCAGGAGATAGTTTGGGTAGAGAGCATTCTGGCTTTGTTGTAACAAATTCTCCCATGCCAACTGATGTGCAAACCACAACATTTTGTTTTAAAGAACCAGGTCTATCATGCTTTCCTCTGTGCCCTGTATATGAGAACAGGCCCAGCATGGGTAACTGACACTGTTAAATTAGGGGTAGGAGACATTCACAATTTGACTCAGTACACCAAGAAGA